TTCTTTCAGCTTGATCAAACTGACCAAAGAAAGTAATTAAAATATTCCAGTCAGTTTCAGTCATTCCCTTCCCAATCTATTTTTGAAATATTTTCTTGCAAAAATATTTTTTCCAGTCTTTCAGCATCTCAGAAATGCTGGTTGAGTGAGCAATTTGAAAAGCTACCTTTGGTTCCTAACTCCCATTATCTATCAATGAGAATTCAGCCATGATTTTTAAAATTGTAAGACATTTTTGGGTGCTGTATCAGAGGCTGGTTTGTTTTTTGTTTTTTTTTTTGAAGGATTGGTGTTCACCTTTCTGAACATCCATCACCTTTAATGTGCAGGGCATCCAAACGCTCCAGTTGTGTGGGTTTTTTCCAAAATGGGTTTAGGCTTCAAAATCACTTAGAAGTTTTATTTAACTGTGACAGGTTCACATTCATTGTGTGGACCAATGGGCATGCCCTGTTGCCTTAGGCCACATTGCACCTGAGCCTATTCACACACCATGACATGTTGTTCACTGGTATACCTCTGGAGGTAGTGCTCAGTGGTTGCTTTAGTGGCCCAGTGGTGGCTCTCTTGGCACGTCTTCTGTGGGGCTACTCCTCCTCTATACCCTACCCCTTTCCTTTTGGGTCTTATGATGGATCCAGGCAGTTCCTTGGCATGTTAATGGGGCTTCTTCTCCTATGCTGGGGCCCAACGAGAAGGGATACTGCAGTGTTCTTACTGCTGTTCTATAGCTTCCAAAAAATCCCAACACAACAGAAAAACTTAAATAGGTTGGACTGGGAGGTGGGCAGGGCAACGTTGCCCCCACACCAAGTAGCTCAACTCTGAGCATAGGGGATTGGGTGCCCTGTGCTCCATTCAGTTTCCCTGATTTTGGGCTCCATTGTCTTCCTGGTGAGCTGGCTTTTTGTCATAGGTTCTTCCCATCTGGCTGCTGGGCCAGGAGTGCCACTGCTCTGTGGCACTCCACACCATGCTGGTATGGGGTCTGCCACTCCACCAGTCCCCTGTTGGCATGCTCTGGGCTTGCAGACTCACTAGTGGGGTGTGCAGTGTCTGTGGTGCTCCCTGCCAGGGTTCTCCCTCATCTGGTGCCCACAGGGCCCACTGGGCTGCCTTCTCCCAGCCCCACCTGACCTGCAGGTTCCTGTGTGGTCCTTGGTCTCTGGTGGCAAGTGGGCTTGCATCTGTGTTCAGCTGCTTGTCACTTGCATCAGGCAAGCCAACATCCATTCTGGTCCTCTGGGCTCTGGGCGTGAAGGAGCCCTTCTGGGTTTGCCTGGGTCTTTTGGCCCCAGGGAATGTAGTGGGCCTCCACCCAGCCATCAGGAGTGCTTCCTGGTTTTCCCCAGCCACCTCTGCCACAGGACACACATGTGCTGCTTCCCCAGGCACACTGGCCATCAGGGGAAGCAATGGGCCTCTTCTAGTAGTAAAGAGAATGTCTGGCTCCATTTCCTGTCTTTGGATGTATTCCGCCCCCTGCCTCGGCATTTGGGCCTGTTTTATGCACGAAGACCCCTGGGCTCAATGCCAACCAGGGGTGTGCTGTCTAGCCATGGGGTGCCAGCTGTCTTAACTGTGGCCACCTGGGCTATGGTGCCCCGGTAAGATGAGCAGGGGCCAGTCACACTAACCAAATAGTTACAATGACAGAGTTAGAGTGGAAATGCAGGTTTACTGATGTGTAGGTGCCTCATACCAGCATAGATAAGGCCCTCATCCCATAGAAGAACAGTTCTATTGATGTAAAACACCTTTTCAGCAGTAGGTTATGCTGGTGTCACTTTAAGCTTATAGCTAATGCAGAACACTCTCCCCTATCTGGAAGCTTCAACACTGCTAATGTCCCCAGCTTTAGTTCATTAGCACTGTTCTGCATTATCTAAAGTCTGAAAGCTGTGGGGAAGTGTTTTATGTGAGAAATGCATTCAGTTGTATTGTGAAAAACACTAGGAAGTCTTTTGTTGGCCTTAAGTTTTGTTCCTACACAGCTTCAGTTCAGGCCTAAATCTGACCCAACAGCGTTCCTTTGTCAGACATGTGAAGTGACATGTGGCTTTAATAGCTTTTCAGCCTGCTCTGCCTGTGGTGTCAGCTCCTTGCCTGTGGTGGTGGGACGTCTCCAGTCTCAGTAGCAAATTCCTTGGTTGGTATATATCGGTAATGACTAATTTACTTATTCTATTAAATATTAGAACCTGACCTGATGCTCTGCATATGGGTCCAATTTAAGTGGTGAGGCGAGATGTACCGTGGGGCATTTGTAGCGTGTGATTGAACCACCCTGTTCTGACTCGGCTATTAAGTGTTCAACATACATGCTTTAAGTGGCTACTACCCATTTTGCTGCCGCATAGTATTGGAGCACAACTCGAATAATCCCAGTCCAACAGCCTTATCTCTGTTCATGAGGATCTTCTTGGAATTGCCCTCTTCCTTTCTTCTTTGCTTTATTATTGGCACACTCTCCTTTCTGGTATTGGTCAATGACAGATGCTTTGTAGCAGTCAGTGACCATACATAGCAATAAATTAAGGAGTACAGATACCTTGGAGCACTTAGGACTAACAACAACCAGATGGAGGAGGAAATTTAAGGCAGAGAGAGAACATTAAACCTGTTATTTCACTTAGTAGAGAATTTTTAGCCCAAAGAATGACTGAGAGCTTCTGTTATACAACATCATTATCAAGCCTATGGATTTATATGGATATATGAGGCCTTGGCACTTGTTCTTTTTCCTTCTCAATAAAGTATTTTTGCAAATAAAATATTGAGCCAACTTCTAGGGGCCAGTCGTGGAAAATGATGTGTTGAGACCGAAGAAGGAACTTCAGGAGGTTTGTGAAGAACCAAATATAGAACATGAAGTAAAATCCCAGCAGCTTTTGTGGGGAAGGTGGGTGCTTAGGATCACAGAATACAGCCCAACTAAGTATCTCTTAGAAGAACATTCCTATGGCATTCAATCTCATGGCCAACCATGAAGATAAAGGGACAATATTGAGCCAGACCTCAGGACTTTTTACTATGAATTGCTATCAATGGGGAAGATAGGTACTTAGCCCCTTGATAGACAAATGGAGGAATTGTGAGAGCAACCACGGACCTCTAGAGCGGGGTCAGCAACATTTTTGCACGGAGTGCCAAAAACACCCACAGCCTCCGCTTGTAAGATGTTGGCATGCCATGGACAGGTAGCAGAGGAGCTGTGAGGGACCTGATTCTTGTGGCAGTGCAACCCTGGCCACTTCCCCACCCTCTGCCCCAAGGCATGCAAGCCAAGTAAAATGCCTTTGCATGCCACGCTCTGGCATGCGGGCTGGGGGTTGTCTGCCCCTGCTCTAGAGTTTATATAGCCTTGGAGCAGGCTATTTAATTTTCACTCTTATAATCACAATATTTTTATTATCTAGAGATTTTTAAAGCCCCAAAGGACAATGTGATTTAAGTAGTCCAGTCTCCTGTAAAACACAAGACCATTTCACCCAGTAATTCCTACAGTGGAATTCCTCAGTGCTCTGTATAAGCACTGAGCCAAAGAAACTGTTGCTAGACTACAGCCTGTTCCTTTACATAGCCCTCTGTACAGGGGGTCTCTCAGAGCCTGTCTGCCATTGGCCTGCCCATCTGTTTCTGGGCCAACTGCCCACCTCCTCTCCTGCAATGCCTTGATGATACATAATTATGTTGTTAATTAGGCAGGAGGCTGCCCATTTTTGCCCCGATGCCACAGAACACTATCTGCAGCTCCATTCCTTCCCTACACCCAGCCCAAGCCTTGCAGATGGCATTCACAGTTCTTAATATCACTGGCCCCACACTAGGCCCCAGAATCCTTCAATTTGGACCCCAACTGGATCCCTCCAATCAGACAGCCTACTCCGCCCGCATTCTGGGCTGCCTAGCTCCCTGAACTCTTCCCTTTCTTGGGCATGGGCCCCCTGGGACCTTTGGCCACACAGGCCCTGGCCTCACCTCCAAGGCCAGTCAGAACCCCAGGCCCTCAGCTCTGGGTGTCCCTTGCAGTGGACCCCTGGCCCTTTTGACCCTTCTAGTCCTGGCCTCAACATTGACCAGTCGAGAGTGTTTCAAGTCAGGCTTCTGAGCCTGTAGCCCACTCCCTAACCTGGGTCCGCATTCTTGCCCCTACTATGGGGTATCCCACCCAGTTGTAGGAGCTGGGGCTATTAAGGTGCCCTGACGTGCCTTTCACTGGGGTGGTAACTGGCCTGGAACTTCCTGGAGGCTCCCACACCACTGGGAGCCCCACTGGGCCACCCACTCCCAGCAGGGTGCAGTTTTAGGTCACGCCAAGGACCAGGAGCCTCCAAACCATCCCCTTAAGCTCCTGACCATACCTCCAGGATGTTGCATGCAGCCTGGCAATATTTCTGCCTGGCCTGCTAGCAGCAGGCTGCTCTCTTTATATAGGAGGCCAGAGATCTAAAATGGCCGCTGTAATCAAACACCTGCTGGCTGTTTGGCTCAGCCCTTAAAGTGACAGACACCAACAGTGCCCCGCCACACCTTCCAAAATTGTGAAACTGATTCCAAGTGATGGAGAATCCACTGTTTGTTGTAGGTAGTGGTTGAACAACGTATCACTGTCACTGCTAGATTTTTCTTGTTTTCAGTTTCAATCTTCTCATTTTATGTTATATAAGGGCCAACAGCTGGAATGTAATCTGCTAGACTAGCATGCATTCTAATATTATGCATCTCTTTCTTGTTCCCCAGAGCTGGCCCACGAACACTACAAACAGGAGTAGAAAACTCAGTTAAAACAGAAGTCTTGGTACAGAACAGATCTAGAAGCCAGTTTTTTTTTCAGGGCAGAGCTAGTGCAAGGGGATTGAACCCTGGATGTCATCAGGTGCTTCATTTTGGGAGTTTTGCTGTTGTAGCCTCAGCCAGTGCAGTTTATCCCACAATCATTGCATTGTTTGACTTTCTGCAATGATTAATGCTTTCCTCCATTCCCTCTTATCCTGCAGATTGTCTGGAGTTGCTGCCAGAGTCCATGGCGTACACAGTAAGCCCCACTCCAGTGGGGCCTGTTGGGACCCAGTACTGTGTTTGCAAAGTTGAATTATCTGTGTGTGGCCAAAACCTTCTGGACCGAGATGTGACTTCCAAATCTGACCCATTCTGTGTCTTATTCATGGAAATCAATGGAAAATGGGTAGAGGTGAGTACCAAAGACTTAATACTTTCCAATTCATGAAATTGGTTTGTGTCGGGCTAGTGTTTTGCATCTGGGTGTTACTTAGTTATTATTCACACTATAGTAATGCCAGTGAGACCCATTTGGGGCTACAGCCCCATTTTACTAGGCAATGATCATAATGTAGTAATAGCCGTGCCCCTATCTTGCAAATGCTTGAGGGCGTGTATAATCCTACTCATGTGAATAGTGCTGTTGCAGCTAATGGGGTTACCTGCACAAGTAACATTGGACATCTTTATATGTGTTGCCAGGGGAGGGGGGTGGAGAATGCTTTAATTAGAACAGCTCTGAGAGCTGTTTTAATTAAAGGGCCCACAGCATCTCATGTATTCATTGTCCAGCGCTTCAAAATAACTGCCATTTTGAAGTACGGGGATGCTAAATACACATGATGCAGAGGCTGCTGGAGCATTCTAATTAGCATGCATCTGAGCAGGCATCCAGCACGTGTATAAGTGCCTATTATTCCTGCACTTAAGTACCTGCAGGATCAGGGCCTGAGTTAACAAACATTCAGGATAGGAGACAGGAGGTGTGTTTCACAGTTGAAAAACAGACATTCACAGATATAAAGAGACTCCATTCTGCCAACAGTTTTCAGATTGCCTATCCCTCTCTGATACTGTAGCATATGTGGATGCCTTTTTGGGTTTGATCAATATTTTATCTTCAGGAGAACTGATTGGTGAAGTGGGTTTATCTCCAGATTGTACTGGAAACTGAGTGTTCCCAAGTTTGCCCGAAAGCCTGTATATTAGGTATAATGACAGATTATGTTGTGCCTGGGAAAGGTCTCTCCGTGTTAAACACACAGAGATCTGTCACATCTACAGCTCAGCTTTTCCCCGTACAGCAAATGAGCTCTTCTGACTTTTTCCCTCATAGTTGGACAAAGCAGTTATTTATCTTGTAGAGTAAGTCATGCTCCTGAGTTTCTTGGCCCCTTATGGCACTACTTTCCACTAATGAAGATAAATGCTCCTTTGATAAATGATCTTCTCTAACCTGCCTGTGTAGATGTAGATGTTCTAACTGTGTTGCATCTGGTTTTGCTGCCATTCATCTCTGACTTAACTGTTTTGCTTGCTGTTCTGAAGTGTACAGCATTATGACAAAACTTAAGAGCTATTATTATAGTGCTCAAAATATCAACCTCTGTCAAGTGTGGGCTTAAAATCACTCCTTAATGTTTACATTGCCTAAATTGCATCTGATGTGAAGCATGCAGTATGTAGAATAGAGGTTCCCAAACTGTGGGTCACAATCCCATATGGGGTTGCAAGATTAGTGGATGCGGTCATGGGAGTGGGGGGGCTATGGGTTGGGAGTTGAGGGGTCCTGCTGAGGAAATGGGGCCATAAATGGGATCATGCTGAGGAAAAGTTTGGGAAGCACTGATGTAGAGGTTTGGTGCAATGCTGTTATGACTCGGGTCAGGTCCAGATGCACTGAAATGCTTGTTTAGTGGGATGTTTCAAATCCAGCTAAGATCCTGTATCACAAAGGAATGCAATTCTAAGGGTTTTCTTATGGGGGTGGGGTTGAGGGGTGAGCACAGCTAAGTATGACATTCTTCAGTCTATGTTAATTTACAATGCAGGTTTGGTCTGGTGTAATAGGGACAATTGTATTGTACTGGTCAGGGGGAATTATGGGGATGGTTATTGTGTTTGAACACCTAGGGCCTCAGCCAAAGTATGCTGAGATCAATAAGCTTTGCAAGGGACACAATGAATGTTAGAGCCTTGGGTTGGGACAAAGGTGAGGTTATTGAGCAATAGAAAGGAGAGAATTGCTGTGAACAGGATGAGTTCAAGAGATTTAAGTTCAGTTCTGTGCTGTGTGGAATACAGGCCATCTGGTAAGACTGATTGAGCCTTTGAACTGTTCCTGGGTGTTGCCCTTGCTTGCCAGATCGCTTTTTGATGAGAAGCAAATGCTTCATTTGCTGCACTTAATTGGAAGAGGCACTGAGCAGAAACTGTACCTAAATACATAAGGTCCATAAGCCCCAGAGGTTGTCATGTCACATGATCTTATCAAAATCAACAGCCTCAGGAAGATGCTAATTGAAAACTGGCTATTTCTGGGGCCAGAACTTGAAGGGTACAGAAAAGTGGAGTGAAATCTGAAAGTGAAAGTTCATCTCCTCTGTTCTGGATGCTGTGGAGCTCTATAACATAAATTTGGCTGCCAAAGAGGCTGCTTTCTGGGTGGGGAAGGTCCAACAGTATAACATGGTCAGGAAGTCGAGGTTGTGCAGACAGCTGTGGATGTTTTCAGGCTTATTCTGGTCCCAAAAGGCCATGCAACTTGTTTGATTTCAGACCAATCAGAAAGGGAGCCACTAATATGAAACGCAGGTGGGAAGAACCACAAGATTGTTTCTTTGGATGTTAACCTATTCTGGAGAAAAACAAGTTGGCCTGGCCTGTAGTTGTGCCCAGATATTAGCAGCTCTTGGGCTGTTTTCTGGTAACCAATCAGTCCATGAGCAACTATGATTCCTCAAAGGCAAACACACTATCATTGCTCTGAAGTGAAAAATCAGTGTTAGCTGCAGGTTTTCTCTTCACTAGTTCAAGAAGAGCACTGCTTTCACTTTGCTCCTTTGCCACACCCCTGGGCTAGGGACAGACATTCAAAAAACCTGAGCCTGAATTGATTCAATCTTTGCAGTTTAGTTTAACGTGCAAAGCTGGAACCAATTTCAAGATGGATAGACGTTCCCTTTTCATTCCAGAAATTCAGGCACATGTCTGCAGTGGCTCAGGCAAGAAGCTGGGGGGCACTAGAGCAGCCCTTCCTTCCCTTGTATAATGCTGAGATGGGGGGCATGGCTAGGCCCTGGCAGGATGCTTTGATTAGGAAGGTCTGCCTGCACCATCCCAGGCTTTTCCCTGCTGGCTGCTCAAGGGGCAGGAGTGTTGCCAGCCCCCAGCCTCCTGCTAGCACTCTGAGGCAAAGAGAGCAGGGGATGAAATGCATTCATCTGTTGATGATATGGAGCTTTTCAATCTCCCTCCCTGCTTCTTTATACTTTCTGCAGCAAACTGACAGGCGAGCAAGCCAGCAGGGGGCTGATAACAGTGTTTATCACCCAATCAGCAAAACAATAGCCTCTCTCCATTACTTCAAACTCTTCTTAAACACCTTACCAGCTGGCCTGGAGAAGCCAGAAAGATCCTGCTGTGCCTGTCAGTCTCTGCTGGAGCTCCAGCCAGGGAGCAGATGGGAGGGGCCATGGAGCAGAGAGCCCTGCCCAGCCCAGAGAGCATGCCAGGATACTGGGGGTGTCTGGTTTATCTCAAACCAGCAAGAGGTCTGGGACAGACATTGCATAAACTGGCTTGACCCAAATCAGTTAAGTCTGATACTACATTCGACCAGGTTTATCTCAAACCAGTTTCAGCAATTTTCAACTTGGTTTATGTGCACTCAACATTAGGGCTGTGCGAAATTTCGCTGGCTGTTTCATTTCAATGCTGTTTCAATTCATTTCAAGCTCAAAAGAGTAAAATCGAAACAAAATGAAGGGCTTCAAAACAGCTTCAAAACAAAAGGATGGCAGTCGAAATGTTTTGAATGTTTCGAAGCTCAAGCTGGGCTTACCTGCAGGGAAACAGAAGGTGTGTGTGGGGGTGAAGGACTGCTGTTATATTGACTGTGTAGCTGGCCAGTGACTGTGATCCTTCCCTGAGGTCCCTTCCAATCCCAGTGCTCTGGGAGAGGGATGGAAAAACAGCATAAAAGGCAGCATTGTTTGAACTTCCCTGCTTTCTCCCTTGGGGCCTGACAGTTACTGAGTTATCTTCCAGCAGCTCAGGAGCGTTAGACAACAAAGGCTACTGCTACTATTGATTGGAATGATTTCCTACTTGCTAGCCTTGCAAGTGGGATTCCACAATACCTTTTGTTTCTTCTAGACCCTTTTATTTTATTATTATATTCATTGATTTATTCTTATCAATTTTATAATTATATTGGATATTACACTATAGAATTTATATAGAAAGGGATATGCATTTATATTTTATTTCTATACATATATACCTTATGGCATATTACATTACAGAATTTATATAAGAAGGGAGATGTTGTTATAAAAATATATGAAACATACCATGAAGCACAGTGGAAAGGCATCTGGCAAGCCTTCAGAGAGGAGAAAAGAGTGGGTAGAGGGAGAGGTGTAAGTTTCCCCACCCCACTGCAAACTGAGATGCAGCCTGTTTCCTATAACTAGCAAGGAGGAGGCTTCCAGAAGCAGCAAGGAGAGGGGAATAGTGCCAGTGCCACTGCCTGTGCCTGAGTCTGCATCTCCTCCAAGAGCACCAGCCATAACCTCCCCCCCTACCACTACCACCAGGACAACAAGCAGCAGTACCAGCACCATCTCCAACACCCCCATTTCACTTCCCATGCTGAGCCTTCCAGTGCCAGAGGAGGACCTGGAGCTGCAGTTGGATCTGAGTGCCCTAGCAAGGGAAATTCTGGGGAAGGAGGGGGATTCATCTGAGTTTGTGCTCCATACCCCTCAAATTTCCCCTAGAGCCAGGTCTCCTTCCCCAGAAGGCACTTCATAGGAGGTTGAGGTAAAGGTTGTGGAGGCAAGCAGCTCAGCTGAGTCTGCTCCTCCTGTCGCTGTGCCTCTGCTGAGGAGGCGGAAAGTGCAGCATCCACACATACACCCGCACCCCAGAAGCGAGCAGGTAGTGTGGTCTGGGATCATTCTGAGGTGGCAGATGATCCCACATACGCTATCTGCCTGCACTGCCGAGCCAAAACCAGCTGGGGCAAAGGAACAAAACACATAAGCACCATGGCGATGCTAATGCATCTCCGCAGGCACTACCACCTTGCCCTTACTTCTCCTCAGCCTGGCACCAGTGGGAGCATACCCAAAACGAAGTTCCCCTCTCGTTCCAAAGCCCCCTCCCCCCCACAGCAGAGGCAGGCCA